GGAAAGAGGGCAGAGAACCACTACTGTTGTGAAATGAGTGCGCGTGTGCACCGATTTTCATAGCTGCAATCCCCCGAAGTCAAGAATAAGTGCCTTGGAGCTTTCAGGCTTCTACGTTTCTATAGAGCGCGGCCGAGTGGGAATAACAAACAGGCTTTGGAGTCAGATGGAGCAGTGTGTGAATTCCAGCTCCGCCACTAACCGCGTGACCCCAGGCACATCACTCTGTGGCCTCAGTCCTCCACAGCCCAGTTCTAGCCTGGGAAGGATGTGGCTGACTTACCCTACAGAGTGCTCATGAGCGCTCCACGAAGGAAACTAGCACAGGGCCTGGTAAAGTCAACTGCGCACAGGCTCCACGGGCATGCTCACCCTTCTCCTCTCCCACCTATCACCAGGGCATGAACCTAAGGCAATGTCACAGGATATCAGATCTGAGAACACATTAAGGTACATGTGCTAGATCAGCGATGACCATGAAGGCAATCTCAGATTGGCTTGAAGAAGAAAGTAGGAAAAATTGTTTAACGCCCTCGACACCTGGTCACTGCTTACTTCTTTCGAGGCTATCTATTAAGCTCCATCCCTCTTTCTTTCTCTCCTTCCTTCCCTCTCTCACCCACATCCACCCCAGAAAAAAAACTTGAGCAAGCCAGTTACTAGTCTGCAACTCTACCTCATTCCCAGGCCCCAAATCTCACAAAGCCTTAAAGGCCTACCTCTAACTGCCCACCCTACTCCTTTCAGCAGCAGAGCTGAGGCTCCAAAGGCACAAGTCGGGGGCCACAAGGACCAAAGAGAGCTTCCTATTCTCAGTGACCTGCTGACACTTAGTGACATTTCCTAATATCTGTCGCAGAGGTAACTTGGTGGGACCAGAGAAGCCCAGCCTCCCCTCCTGAGCCCCCAACACCCCAAAGTCAGCCCTGCCCGCTCACGAAGTGCAGTCCTTGATGCAGTCTATGCAGTTCCCGTCCTTCAAGTGGCATGCTGCTCGGTTGGAGTAGAGAACACTTTCTTTTTCTGGGTCTGAAGAACCTGCCCAAGTGGAAGCAGAAAGTGCACTATTAACAGGCTGGGAAATGGATGCCTCAGGATATCAGGAGTGCATCCACACCCTGCGCTCTCTGGGCTTTAGTAAAGGGCAAGCAGAGATGACTGTAACCCAATCAGGCTTGTTGGTCTGATGGGCTGGCAAGTCTGTCAAGGGAGTGAGAACACCCAGCTTCCTGCCATTCACAGGGCATCAAGCATCTATCTGCTCATTCACTCAGTCCAGCACTGAATGTGGTACCAGGCCAAAGATCAAAATGAAATAGCTCAAAGAAATCCATGTTGTAACTACCTGGTGTGTGTGTGTGTGTGTGTGTGTGTGTGTGTTAATTTTAGTACAAGAAGCGTGTAAATCCAATAAAGAAGAAAGAGACGAAAATGTCATAAATGCTATGATAAATGGACCAGACAAGTGTTATGGGGACACAAAAATCTAATTCTACCTCTCAGAGAGGACTTTGCCAAGTCCTCTGGGTCTGGCGGGACTACAGAGAATTTAATCAGCAGAAGGGCTCAAGCTATCCCATGGGGAAGAAATCATTACCGCCTTTCCCTAAAGGCAGTCCATATCCTTAGGAATCTCAGAAAGCTCAAGTCCTTTACTGTGGCCACAAGGATTTTCATTTTTAAAAATAATTTTTCAGCCACATCATACCCACTAGCATGAGCCATAATGAAAACAAACAAAAAGTGGAAACTGTCGAGTGCTGACCCAGTGATTCTGATCCCAGGCATATACCCAGAACAACAGGAAACAAGCTCTCCTTTGAAAACTGTGAAACATATGGAAACCAGTATAACAGATAGTTGATATTCATCACTAAACTCAGCATACAATCTATTTGTTTACACCTTTTTGTTTTTGATATGACTAAAGCTCCACTCAGCCCCACCCTTTTCCCTTTGCCCCCTTCCCAGTCCCCCAGAGGTTGGCATAATCCTGAACTTGGTATGTCACATTCTCATGTATGTCTATCTTTATTACATAGGTATTCACAGGCAAGACACAATATCACTTTCTATCTTTTTTTTTTTTTTCCTCCGGCCATGCCGCACAGCATATGGGATCTTAGTTCCCCGACCAGGGATCAAACCCTCACCCAGTGCAGTGGAAGCACAGAGTCTTAACCACTGGACCACCAGCGAAGTCCACTTCCTTTTAAAGCTTTTCCTAAGTGGCATCATATTGCCTCTCCTGCAGCTTGCCTTTTTCACTAAGTATCCTGTTACCATATTGATGAATGATCTCTTTCATTCGATATCAAATTTTATTATAAATTATCTTCTTTTTTCTCTTATTTTTGCTAGTCCCTGAATGAGATAGCAAAGTAAAGAGATAAGTAAAATACATCCTTGCCCTTAAGAAGCAAGCACAAGTATTCAAAACTTCCAATCCATCTCAAATTACCAGAGCACGGTTGCTCAGAAAACAGCAGTGGTGTGGTGGAAAGGGCATCAGAACCTACAATCCAGCCTGCGATCCTGCACAAGTCATCCAATCCCCCTGATCACATGTGCTCACCTATCAGATGAAGGTATCATTTCACAGACTTGCTGGAAGGGTTTGTTGTATTAGGTTGCTCCCTGCTCTCCTTTCAAGATCAGGGAAACTGATCAGAGAAATCAAGGGACTTGCCCATAAATTACCTAGAAAATCAGTAGCAGGATCAGGACCAAATTCTGGTCCCCTTCTGAATCCAGACCTCAGGCCACCTCTTCTTGGGGCCCAGAATAAATCCATACAAAAAGACAAGTTTTTCCAGGCCAGCTGGGGTAGGATGAAAGAAGAAGGCAGAAATATCAATACCTCACATTCCTCAGCAACTTTATTAAGTTGAGATGAAGAGCTGGGCCTACAGAGAAGTGTTCTAGAAAAAAAGACGGGGCAGTGGGGCAAAAGAGTGGCTTGAAACTGCAAAAATTCAAACAAAAAAGACTGGAACTTAGAGAGGATTTGGAAAAAAGTCTAGCAAAATGATTAAAAACTTGGACTTGGGAATCAGAGAGACCCACATTCAAATTCTGCCTCTGACATGTCTTCACTGTGTCACCCCAGAAGAGGCAATTTAACTCTTCTGGATCCCTCATCTATAAAGCGTCTTACCCATAAGTTAGTATGAAGATAAAAAGGGGTAATGTCGGGCTTCCCTGGTGGCGCAGTGGTTGGGAGTCCGCCTGCCAATGCAGGGGACACGGGTTC